ACTTTAACTTTGGGTATATTCAAGTAGTTAACTCCGACACATCAAGAGCGGCCAAGGCCCAACGAAAGATAAAGGGAAAAAGTTCTTCAACAGTCAGTCCGAATGCTGTGCGTCCCTTTGGGGTACACTTGACATTTACAGGGTATTCACAGCACAAGAATTGAGAACACAAATAAGTTTTGTAGTGGCCTCGCACAACCGCTGAACAACGTCGTAAAAACTTATTTAATTTGTGATTTATATGAATAAAATTTTCTAGTAAATTCAGTGAAATTATTCATTTCGTAGCGCCCCTACGGCTGGTTGGACGACAACGACAACAACAACAACAACAATAGCAATAGCAATAACAGTAACAAAACAAACAAAAGAAAAATTGGCATTGGTAACTGAGGCCATAGGGAAATGAGAGGGGGTCGGGAGGGGGGGTGGAGCAAGGGCAAGCCAGTCGAAAGGATAAGTCCCGCAACCAAAACAAGTCGCCAGTCAGGAGGCATTTCAACTGACCAAAGGCGAGGGGCTGCCGCAGAGAACAGGGACTCGAGGCAGGGGCGAGGCCTAGTAGAGTCGGTTACCAGGCAGACGACAACAATGGCGACGATGACGTCGCCTCGTCGCGTCGTTGCTTACCCCTAGAAACAAAACAAAATGAAAATGAAAAGTAAAAAAATATATATATAAACCAACAACAACTTTTGACTTGGCTAGCCAAGAGTTCACGTTTTGATTTACTCAAAAAGGAAAACAAGTAAGAAGGCTCTAGTCGAGACTGCTCGACTAGGAGATACCCTGAACCCTCTAAGCTGATATTCTAATCATTCTGCACTTTTATGCACACACACATACACATGCATCCACACGCACGCATAAGCCTGCGCTCTGCTAACTGCGCAGTAAGCAGCGACTGCGCTTGGGCTGCGCTGCAGTGTGGGCAATATTATGAGAATTTTTTTGTTGAATAATTTCTTTTGTAGACATACGATCTTAATAAAACTTTCAGAGCGTAATTATATGGTGAATACGTGTGTACATTCCAAAGCACAAGTCTCTAGTACTTGAAATGCGTTTTTTACAAATTGGGGGCGAAGGGGGCGTGGTATCCAAAATCTGTAAATTACAAAATCTTTGTATCCATTAACTTTATATACAACGCAAATTTGAAGACTCCAGGTCTAAAAGTGTTCAAACTAGGCTGAAAAAACAATGTCGATTTTTCGATTATTCTCGATAAAAAAGTTATCGGACGATTTATCGAAAAAATAAAGCAAACTCGTACTGCGTATGGTACTCACGAGTATGCATGCCAAATTTCAGCTCTCTAGCTTTTATAACTTCTGAGATCGACGCACTCATACGGACGGACGGACGGACGGACGGACGGACGGACGGACGGACGGACGGACGGACAGACGGACAGGGCTATATCGACTCAGCTCGTCACGCTGATCAAGAATATATATACTTTGTGGGGTCTGCCACGCCTCCTTCTGCCCGTTACATACTTTTTCACAAAACCATTATACCCTGATTTCCCATTTTCAATGGGTTCAGGGTATAAAAAAACACGCGCGCACACACACACACACACACACACATAGATAAAGGGGCGGAGAGAGTTAGAACTTTGCGCATATAAATTGGGCAATTCAAATTTTGAAATGCTGCCAGAATCAGAGGACACACCCCATACCCAGCCATCAGGCACCAGCCACGCCCACGACTTGTTGGCGCCCGACTTGTCGGAGGCAACAATTTTTTGTTAAGCATCACTTAAATCGTTCCATTTACGTTCCACTTTATCTGCATATAACTGCTCTTCGGAAAGACCCATTTGTGGGAAGCCAACTGAAATTTAACTGAATATTAAATGGAACGCAAGTAGACGTTTTCCTAACCAGACAGATGTAATATTTATTCTATATAATATGTATTCTCTATAAGAAATCGATCTTTAAATTGCTTCAATTTAACCAAATAAAACAAAGCAAAACAAAGGCTCGAATCCCTCGTAAGAGTTGGTTACACTCAAGGCCTCACACTAGAAATCATATTCACCTACAAAAGGATATAAGAGATATGCAAATTTGTACTACTTAAAATATTCCATATGAATAACAATCTGAATTTATCTATATTATATTAAATATGATTATAGTATATTATTTAAGCTATGTTATGAGAAAGAGAAGAATCTTTTCTACTATAAAGTATGGAGCCTAGAACTTCATTTTAGTTTTGAGTATGAACAGTCTGAACTTTGCTTAATGATAATATAATATAATAAGATTTCACCTGTAGTAGAAGTCCCCAGCTGTATTAATCGCCCATTTCATCAAGTAAAATAAGTTATTTCTATAAATTTTGCGTGTACTTTATTTTAATTAGATTTATACGTAAAATTAAAAAACTAAAATATGTTTATAATTATAGATATACGTACTTAAGCATTGGTGCTTATAGACACTTGCCTCTTATTATACTACGATACGATTCGGGGTCATCATTCACGTGACTCACAATACCGCGCGGTATTATTTCTTTAGTATTTCGCAGTATTCTAAAGTTCCCAAGTTGAGTTCTCAACAGATTAAACAAGCCCATATGTAACTTGTAGAATATCGGCATAAACTATACAATGGAGCTGACAAGCTTCCGTCGCCTTTTCTTGTTGTCAAGCAACCATAATTGCAGTGAGCAGTAAACAGGCTACACGTCTGAAAAGCTAGTACAGTCGAATCTTGTTAATTGGTAATTAGTGGGCCGCATTCTAAGGCGTTGTAAAGTGGTTCCCTAGAAATCGAGTTCCATTAATAAATTCCTTTTTGGTTGCCAAAGTGAATTAGACGCTAAACGCTCAATGCTCGTGCAAGGGAGAGCACTTAATCTATCAATTGCGCTTTGTGCGCGACATCCTTAAACGAGCTTGGCGCAACAAAGCAATCGCGATGGCGGTAGAGGATTTTCGGCGCAACTTCGTGTGGAATGTGTGGCAAGCCATGAATAGCTTTTGAGTAGGAACTGGCAGGAGCAGGAGCAGGAGTATAAGGATTGGGGCTGCATCAGGCACTTACCGCACGCGCATCGCAGCGCAAAGCAAAGCTGGCCAAGCACAGGCCCAGCAACGGAAGCAGCCAGAGCCGGCTGAGTCGGACGCGTTTTTGCAACAGTTCACGCGGCATTTTTAGCTGATTTGTATCTTTGATATATTTCTTCTTTTCGCTGTGGTTTTTCAGAGCTTCGGTAACGCTTACTGTTGACTGGCACTGTAAAAAAAAAGACAAACAACAAAAAAACCAAAACAAATTTGAAAAATGGCCGTGCAAAGTAAATCGCGCGAATTTCAATCAATGAATGAATTTCGATTTCGACTTTGGCTGCGCTGCCGCTGCTCAGCGCCATTTTCTGTTTTTTGTTTTTTTTTCCTTTCTTTTTTATGCAGTGCTGGTTGGCTTCACATTTGAGTGGTTCTTGGATTTGCCGGCGCCATGCGGCTTGTTGTTTACTTTCACTACAGCACGCTCACATGCAAACATACAACACAACAGCCCACACCCACACACAAACACAAACACAGACACACACACACACGCACACACAAGCACAGTCAACACGTTCAAACCAAAAGCACTGCCAACACCAACTGAGCAACTGAGCAGCAGCAAGTGGAGCCGCTGTTAAAGGAAACGAACCGAACGCGCACGCGGCACGAATTGTTCTGGCATTTCGGCAGCATTGAAGGCTGCTTTTGAACAACAGGAGCAGCAGCAGCAGCAGCAGCAGCAGCAGCAGCAGCAGCGGCGACGGCCAAATGGTGTATGCGGCGAAAATGGCAAGATTTGCGGCGAATTGGTAGCGCAGCACGGCACAGTAGTTGACGAACGCAAGCAGGCGCGCAGCCAAAGGCTAGCCAACAGGCGAGAGCGAGCAGGCACTAGGCCAGCTATGGACAAAGGGTCTGACGTGCCATCAAGTTTATAAAATGTACGTGACTGTGGCTCGCTTCGCGCTTGAAGTGTGTGTTAAGCTGCGCTGGCGTTGCCGTTGTCGCTGCCTGTCGCCCCACTCCCTCGCTTCCTCGCTCCCTCGCTCCGTCGCGTCCAAGATGCTCATGCATTTGGCACACAATGTTCAAGGACACACACTCGCACCCATGCTCACACTCTGTCCCCCCACTGTCTATCGCTGTCTCCCTCGCACACAGTGCTAATGCTTTTATTGTGCAGCATTTCTTTATTTTTAGTTGATTTGTATGAACAATTTCGGTTAGTTTGTTCTTTTTTTTTCGTTTTCGTTTTCGGTAATTCCTTTTGGTAGCGCTGACCTTGGACCACCCCGTCCGGCTTTGCGGCGCAGTGCCCTCCATCAGCTTTGCTCCAATTACGCCAAATTTCGTTGGACAATGGCCGGCACTTAAACTTCACGCGCTCGATTTCACTTGAACAGGATTCAAGAGCAGCGCCATAATCCGTTGACCAATGCCACCGAGAATGCCACATTTCCTTGCCGCTTCCCTTTGCGTTGTCCTCTTTACGGATTACACTTACTGCTGATCCCAGATACATTTGGCGCTGCAATATACGGCCGTCCGCCGACCCATTGTCAATCTGTGTCCAACGTAACAATGGAACTCGATACGGATACATATTGACCATTCCTTACACTTTATTATTGACCACTCTGCTTTACTAGCAAGTCTCACGGTTGCCGTCGCCGTCTAATTTGCATCCTGCCGGACGCCTTGCTGTTCACCATCGCCATAAATAGTTCGCTGCCAGCAACTTACGGCGTAATCTGAGCTCAATTATGAAAATCACGCTCATCTTTTGACTGTCAACAGTGTTGCTAATTTGAAGGCAGTCAGAAGAGAGCAGGACGCTTTGAGAATATTTTAAGCCCAGGTCAAGTTCATTAGCCTCCCTCGCTAGACTGCGCTTTGTCTGTCACCTGTAATAATGCATAGCGCTTAACAGTTCTAGCGAAAAGTAGATACACATATTAGCTCTAGTTTATGTTTTAATAAGTCAAATGCCTATCGGTTTACTACAATCTATAGCTTCTATGGGCGTAACTGTCGTAAATCTAGTTGAGTAACGAACCCTTTAAAGCCAGACACATGTATGTACATACAAACATACAAACATACATACAAACATACATACATACATACATACATATGACTGCATACATAGTTCGTGTTGTCGCACTTACACATATAAATATAAAATCTCGAGTTACATAATTTCTTCTACTTATGAACATATAAACATATAACATATAAATATACGAATGTATGTATATAGTGTATATGTCCAATAACCGAGCATTTGGTTCAGTGTCAAATATTTATGATGTCTTGGGCAAATGTTTCTCATTTATAATTTAGATAAGGTCGACCTCTGCCGCTCAGTCCGTCTCGCTCTTGCCAAATAGAGCTATAAGCGCAGAGCGACCGTCTCCAAGGCCAGATGGGGCTCAGGTGGTCGAATGATCTGCTCCCCAGCGTCGTCCACGTAGTCTGTGTAGGGTATTCTGTTGACCACGGCGAAGCCGAGTCGCTGCAGCAGGCGGCTGGAGTAGAAGCTGGAGCAGTCGGCGGTAAGCAACGGATAGCTCAGCTCTTTGCCCAGGGCAGTGAGGGCGTTCATGAGTCGCTCACCTAGAGCACGTCCACGCATTCGCGAGTCCACGCCAATAGCGTGCACGTGTAGAGCTTTGTCCACGCCGTAGCGCTTGAAGACGTTCGCATCTCGCTCTGCAATGGCCAAAATGCCCAGAATACGACCCCATTTGGTGCCGGCCAGCTGTGCGGCCTGCTCGAACAGTTCATCCACCGCGCCGGCATCCTTGGGACCAGCGACGGCGGCGGCCACAATGCGATCATTGTGGAGCATTAGAAGGCAGGTGCCATGTGGTAAATTGGAGAGCAGAAATTGTTTATCCTTCTCATCTGGCTCGGGGGGCGCACAGCCGGCAGTAAGTGGCTCCTCCCGATAGTAGTGCTCCAGGAGGAACTCCATCATTCTGTCGCCATCCTCCACACCACACACGCGAATCTCAAAGTCGTTGCCTCTCGTTGCAGCGCTCATGGCGAACACATACCAGCCAAGTTCTAACAGCTGTTTTTATCAAAAGATCGCCACGCAGTGTGACCGCATATTTGTTCACCAAAATTCTAACTATTCTAATGCTGGCAATTTCAGCACGAATCTAATATTAATTTTTGTATTTTTTAGCCCATTTTGAAAATCCATTTCAAATCCCCATTTCAGTTAATTCGATGCCGGCGAGAATCAAATTTGAAAATAAAATATAAATTAATAAAATACTTATGTTAAATTCTAATAAATCAATTCCCATTGTATAAAATATGATGTTTAAGTAGAAAAGGATAATGTGTCCACTTAAATTTAAAAAATGTAAAACTATTTTGTATACCCATATAAATAAATAAATAAAATAAAATCGTTATCTTATCAATTATATCCATACGTATATGAAATGCATAAACACAATTTTTTAATTTATTAATTTATTTATTATATATTTATTTATTATGCACAAAGAAAATTTGTATTGAAGGCACAGTGGGGCCAAGTGTATAATTTAAATATTTAAACAGCTCCTTTTTTAGAACGAAACAGCGTTGTAAGAATGTTCTCCGTGTGCGAACAAATTAAATATCAGAAACCGAAAGTGCATTTTAAGTTGGTAATATTGCTACTCTTATTGGATATTTCGGAAGTAAGAATCGGAGTTTATTAATCAAAAATATGCCAAGACTCTTTAAAGAACTGATATTAGAATCATTATACGCTTTTTTTTATGCACACATATGTACATGTACATGAACATGTAAATACATAAATAATAAGCCACATACATGGGCATACATACATACATACATAGGCATACGAATTTTAAATCCCTCTATCTATCTATGTAGCTCTAAAACTATTCAAATTACGATTAAATACAAAGTCAAAGGATTGATTATTATCGTTAAAAAGGAATTTGAAGACTTATCGATAGCAAGTTATACACTCTCACTGCTTATGGTATGAGATCTCTGGGTTGATACGGATGGACAGACAAATGGACGGATAGACGGCATACTATGATTTCCCATGTAAATAATATGTATATTATTAATATTATGTATAATCTATGTCTGAAATTTAAGAATCAATTAACGCTCTTTATGGTAAGAATTGAGCATAGATTTAATATTTCTTTGATATTTTTATTTGATTTGCTTTCCTTAGGTGTGATATAGTCATTCATAGATCTAAGTGCTTTTGCAATCACTTCCAATGTACGCTACCTGGAGGATAACGAATATTCCCATTAATGTAAATAAAGGAAACTATTTGTTAACAGTATTGGAGAGATATTCCTTTCAAGCGAGTGTCCACATGGGAATGAGATTTCAAGTCCATCAGACACCAAATAATCCGTGCAAAGTCAAAGGAAACTCCTCGATAAGCATCTTGGCCGAGAGGAGGGTGTGGATAATCGTAAAGGAGTTGTGTGTGCAAGTGCAATTTTTTCGTTGCCAGGATACGATGCACAATTGAATAAGTTTCCGTCCTTCGTCGAGCTCTCACCGCTCTTCGACGCAGATTTCATAATAATTAGCGAACCGTGTCAAATGTCTCGTTTAATTAGCTGCACATGTGCTGTCGACAGCATCTGCGAGCGCCAGGATGAGATGGGGCGGGCGGGGGCGGTGTTACTAGGCAACAATACGCTCCAGTTGCAGCTTCTCTCATGACTTATGCTCTTGATTTTTCCCCCCCTTTTCCATTTTGCTCAACTGCAATTAGCAATCAGAGTTCGCTCTAGGTAACCATGACATAATACCGCTTGTAGCTGGTAGTTGACCAATTTAATTAAGCAATTTTCTGCCACTTCTGCACACGAGCGCAAATGCAAACGTTTCGTAAGTCTAATTGACAGCGTAGCACTGGAACCGTAATACCTAAGTACCCGGGCGCAGGGCAGCAGCTGTCTCGCTCTGTCGCACGCCTGACAAGGCGCCTAGCATTGTTTTTACTTTGCGAACAATTCAATTAGCATTTGCCTCAACAGTTTGCCATAGAATAAATTGGTTACATTTCATTTTGATATTGATGCTTGTTTTCATATACATAAACTTTGAATGGGACTGCAAAGCTAATGCTCTGAGCTGCCAGCAATATTGTCGTTTCCCTATGACGCACTTACATTTACATACATATATGCACTCCTGTATTCCAAGAGGTTTTGGTAAGCCTTTTAGCAACTGATCAAACTTTCAACACGTTTTTGTTGTTTTTTACCGAGGCGTTAGTTACTAGAGGTGCCAAGCTATCGATGGTGGGCGCCATCGATTGAGGACGATAGCAATTTCCAAACCATCGATGGTGGTCGATAGTCGCAATACAAACCAGTGATTCTTATCATTAAAAATTTGAGCTTATAAAGGTACGCTCTAGCTCATCAGACCTGCCTTTCTCTACTTTAAGGCCTTCTTGACGAACACCACACAGCTCCCTGTGGGTATTCGATCCGATGAACGTCTTATTATCCTGAATCCTTCTGTCTTATGCACCGATGAAAGGAAAGCAGCCCCCGCCACTCCTTGAAGAGCTTTCAGTTTTTGGGAAATGTTAGTAAAGCAAAATATACATGGATAGATATCAATATTTCTCGTGTTTCATCTCGAGCTGTGGCTGTGGGTGGACAAAGTAAATGCCTTAATACGTCATCCTGCGCAACCCCCCAGCGCTGTCCCCTGTGTGGACGTCGCTCTTGATGCAGTAGGCACAGCTGGCCAAGAGCGAATTTGCGGATGGCACAACGAAAGTTGCATTTGGATTTGGGACTGCGATTGGGATCTGGTTTTTGCATCCTTGTTGTTGCTATTGTTGTGCCATAAGCAGCTGCAAAGTTTTCATTTCTTGGCCAAATGCAGCGCAAAATTGTTTAAGCAAACTTCGAAGTTGCAAGTTGCGAGCTGCGAGTTGTGAGTCCGCCGCCAGCTGGCAGCCCCAAAAAGCAGTTGTTGTCCGGCATCTCAGGTCCCTTTGCCGCACCTCTCCCCTCGTAATTAAGTTGCAGCAAAGTTGTCGTCAAGTTGCAACTGGAAGTCATTTTTGCAGCTCGGCCATTTGCCATTTACCATTTACCATTTGCAATGCCCCATTCCCTATGCGCCTTCCGCCCACCGCTCTCCCCCTTTCGCCTTTCGCCTCGCCCAAACCCCCTTAGCTGCCAATCAAAGTGTTTGTCATTTGCGTAGCAGCACTAGGGGAGACTGGGGGCGGGACTGTCCAAATGCTAATTAAAATATAACCGGACTCTAATTAATCCTAATTGTATTTCGTTCGACAAGTGAGTTGCCAGTCGTCTGAAATCGATTCAGCCTTCATATTCTGTCCTTAAATTATAGTCTTTAAGCATTCCCCCCTGAATATGTCGACATTGTGCATTCGTTTACCGGACACAGCTCCATCATTCTCTCTAGCAACGCCACACAAGAAACATTCTTATCAACAAGAGCTTCAGCTATAGAGAGAGAGAGAGAGAGAGAGAGAGAGAGAGAGAGAGGAAGAAAAAAATAGAGAGAGTCGTAAAAGATGGGTAGACTGTACTATACCATGTGACTAGGCAAGCATACTTATCAACTGGGAAGACAGTTGGAATCCAGGGAAAATTCGATTCCATTGCTACGCTGTTTCATCAGCCGTAAAATGAGAGCTGAAGCAATTAGTAGGCTTTGCCTGTTTCTATTTACTACCGTTAGGCACACAAATTGCTCAAGTTATATCATCCACATCAGTTTCCATAGGGTCAAAAATTGAGTAAAAATTGTATTGTCTACCACACAAGATGTTGTCGTATTTGGAGGCTCAGGACTTTCAGGACAAGGACATACGATGCGCATTCAATTTTGTTAATGCCAGACGGTAAATCCGCAGCGGCTTTTCCTCCAACTATTTCTACGTACTATCACTCTACCTAACTCTACAGCAATGCTCAGCTGCTGCTGGACGGGTATAAGCCACCTTTGGCAGTGCGCACGGGCACTTCTATCGTGGGCATCATCTACCAGGACGGAGTCATACTCGGTGCCGATACGCGCGCCACCGAGGGTCCAATTGTGTCAGACAAGAATTGTTCGAAGATACATCGTCTGCAGGATCACATTTAGTAAGCTAACTAACGATTGGATTGTTACACTCTGAGCCCATGGAAAATGGGAATAGGTTTTCTTTTAAAACATATATTGGTTGGAAGGGACGAGATGAGTCTTGTCTGTTTCTAAGATCTTAGAGGCTATACGAATTAGAAGTAGACAAATTTTATATTTGATGCCACCGATAACACATTTATTTCGAATAATCTCTTCAGTAATCCTGGTCTTATCTCAAAAGGGTGAAGAGCTTGAACTGGCAAATTTTTCGTTTAGTTTATTGTACAGTTCATACTAATTTGATCATAATTAACTATTACAAAAACCGAAATTCTATAAAATACATATGAGCTTACATTTAAAATTTGGAGACTCCAGCTCTAAAAGTGTAGGAGATATAATTAATTAACTGATTTTCGATAAGGTTTTTAATTGATAACAATATCGGTATGCGCGTGTAAAATTAATTAATTAAATTAAGTCTCTAGCTCTTATATCTTCTGAGATCGACGCGTACATACATACGACGGACAGTCAGGCATACGGACATTACTAAATCGGCTCAGCTCGTCGCCCTGATCAAGAATATATGTACTTTATGGGGTCTGCCACGTCTCCTTTTGCCATTATGCCCTGATTTCCCATTTTCAATTTGTTCAGGGTATAATGAGTATCGTCCTGTCGGACCACTCCCAGTCTTACTTTTGCTCTCCACAGCTGCTGTGGGGCAGGCACCGCGGCCGATACTGAGCAGATGACTCTGATGACATCCGCTGAACTAGATCTGCACGGGCTGAACACGGGTCGCCAGGTGCCATTGATCTGTGCCAGCATGATGCTCCGCCGTACACTGTTCCGCTACCAGGGTCACATCAGCGCCGCCCTAGTCATGGGTGGGGTGGACAAATATGGGCCGCACATAAACTGCATTCATCCGTGCGGCTCCATCGACAAGATACCCTATGCTGCTATGGGCTCTGGCACACTGGCGGCCATGGCTGTGCTGGAGCAGGGCTGGAATCCCGAGCTGGGGCTGGAGGATGGCAAGCAGCTGGTGCGCAAGGCAATTAGCGCCGGTGTGTTCAACGATCTGGGCTCCGGCTCCAACATCGATCTGTGCGTGATAACGCGCGATGGAGCCAAGCATCTCCGCACGGAGACAATCGCCAGCGAACGTGGCGAGCGGATGGGCGCGTATTCCATTCTGCCTAATACGACGTTGGTGAAGAGCATCTCGATACGGGACCTCGATATAGTCGGCGAGCGCATCTACCGTCCCACCTATTCCATTTCCCAGTTGCCCTCCATCAGCCAGTCCGAGTCGCAAATGGAGAGCCCACAACCAAAGCCAAAGCCGAAGCCGAGGCCCAACTCGACATATCCATCCTCAGGCCGTCCATAGGTATCTAACAATAATATGTATATATTTTTTTTATGAGTGATTAGCGAGCATTGCACAAATTCAGACACAGGTGAAGCCATTTCTGTGTTGTATTTTGTAGTCTCCAATAAAAGTTCAGTTTGGTAGCGTTTCGAGTATTTGTTTTTGAAACTTGAACAGGACTGAATTGGATAGCATAAGCCAATTTTCAGCTCTGAGCTAGAGTGTGGAAGTTTGTATATAATCGAGTCTAACCTGTTCTCTGAAAACATTCTAAAACTAAAAGTTTAAACAAAACAATTGCTCCGACAAGAATGCCTCACAAAATATTTTATTTCCAATTAACAAAACTTTTTATGGAGCATGATATGGCTAGCTTTGATTCCTGATTCTTAAATTCACTTCACAATATTTTGTAGAGCTCACAGTTTAAAGACTTTAAAGAAAGGACAAAAAATAGCTAGTTATATATATAATAATGATGACTACCAGATGACATACGAGAGATTCAGCAAGGGATTATTTTTAACATCAAGAGCAAGTAACTATTTTCGTGGATCGATATTTGAAAGACTGAGCTGTCGACGACTGTCAGCAAGGTTTTAAAATACATTTTGTTAATCCGTAATTCGCTTAGCATCGCATCGTATCTATTCGAGTGCACTTAATTAGCAAAGTTTCGGACGCTGCAACAGAGCCTGAGCAACTTTTTGCAATTTGTGCTTACTGTGATTGCATTTGCTCAAGAATTTGTTGGAAACTAAGCTGACAATGGACGAAGGACATCTGTGTGTGTTTATTTGGCCATTGGCTGTCTTGTAAAAGCCAATTTGGCAACATATTAAATTGAAGCTCTTAACGTGGCTAACTTGATTATTTGTGTACAAATGGCAGGAGCACGGAGCAAGAGCAGGAGCAGGAGGAGGAGCAACGGCAACAGCAACAGCAGCAGCTACAGTACCGGCAGTAGCAGGTGGCTCGAGAGTCCTCGAATTAATTGAATCCTGGCATGTTGGTTAAGTCGTTGCTGGAGTGCGAGTCCTTTGGATGTCCTTGCAGGCACACAGAATGCGTCGAGTGCAATTTAATTCAAATTGTGCGTAGCCAAGGGCAACGGTTACAGTTACGGTTACATTCCCAGCGACACATCCCAATTGCCACACCTCTCAGGCACCTCTCATCCCTGGCGTTATCCCTTTTTACATATCCGCACACTCGCACAGCTAGCCGTCGGACGCACGGGCGAGGGAGGCAGTTGATGGGTCGCATCCCCAATGCCCTGGCATTTTACGTTCAGTTGTTTATGGCCACATATCCTTAAAGTTTTAACATGCAAAACAGCGCCAGAGCCACAGCCAGAGCCACAGCCACTGCTACAGCCACAGCCACTGCTACAACTACAGCCAGCAGTCTGGGAGCTCCATTCTGTTGCATTACTTATGTGCCGCACGGGAAATGGAATCAAAGGGCGAGCGCCGAGAATCCAGCCAAATTTGTAGCTCCAACTGAGGCGAAATCTGCCGCCGGATATTGACAGACGGGCAATAAAAACTACAAAAGGCGACACCAGCGGCCGACAAAAGGACAATCCGAAACAAGCAAAGCGGTACGAGCGCGTGTGGCCTGCTCGACTATTAGATACCTTGCACATAACCAAACGATTGACGGAGAGAAACGGGCTTCATATAGGAAGTGTTGTTTGCATTGACTTGAATGGAGGTCAAGCGAAACGTGAGTAGCTATCTCCATTCTGAAATATTTCGTATCGTAATAATATATAATGTAATAATACAATAATGGACATCATATAACATAATAATATAATGTAATGTTGAAACCACTTTATCAATACTTCGACATAAACTACTTTAATAATTAGAGTCAAGCTTATAGTCTTCAAGTTTTAGGTGTTTGACTTCTTAGACACGATCTATTTGAATGTCCTTTTATCTCACAAGAACTTTATTCATGCATATGATTATACGGGTATACAAAACTCATATGAAAACTTATGGATAAGAACTAGACTAGTCTTATTTATTAATACATATATAGTAAAATGATTCACTTTCGTGAATGAGTATAATTATGTCCTATAAAATCTAACCATAAGAGTTTTTTCTGAAATCATATACATATACAATATAAAGCAAAAGTTAAAGAGAATATTTAAGATGTATTCTTCATAGGATTATACTAACGAATACTAACGTAACCACTGTCCCAAGCTGAAGTCAATCAAAATAAAACGATACTTATATATAATTATATCTGAATACAGATAATTGGTTCTTACGACAGATATCTAGATCAAAGCACCTGCATTATGGCTCCCCCAGCTTATCTTTTTAAAAAAAAGTGTTCATTTAAAATTCGTTTCAAGGCGAATCTATTCATATTCAGTTTTAAAATGTAGGAAGCTTTGCCAAAAAATGTTTTTATTTTTCAGAAACGAAATTTCATCATTGCTTCCCTTTTTTGTGTTGGCAAGTAAATAAAAATCCGTAGCTATTCGTTTTAATTTTATCAAAATATTTATTTTCTTTCGGGTTTTTTTTCTTTCTGTTTCGCAACAGGGCGTCACGCATTGAGATTTCGTGCACGCCATTTGCCTCAGTCGTGTGGACGGGAGATGCGAGATTCGAGATGCGGATGATGTTCATGTTTGTCGCCGACCTCGGGCAGAAGGGGAACAGAGCACGTGAGCTGGCATACGGACAGGATAGCCGAACGGACAGAGGAACTCCCTGGATGGTCGAAAAAATGACGCTGAGATGAAATACGAGGGCTGTTTATCAGCTTTGCAAGAGCAGGCAGGCAGGCAGGCAGACAGACAGGCAGCCGTAGACCGAGTATCCCTCGGTCACCAGGTTTATCATCAGCAGAGCTATTATTATGACATTGTAATTACTTGTGGATATTTTACAGGCAGCTTCCGCTGCCCTGAAGTGAGTAGCTTAGTAGGAGACTCTATACATAGCTCTTTTTGACTGATAGCTGTTATTCAAGTAAAATAATTCTTGTCAGATCTAGGTTGTCTCTTCGCTGGAATTCTCAGTGCTTCTTCGACTGTGCCATCCTTATTTTGTATGCCTGCTTGATCCACCCGAGTATCTGGTAATCCCCAAAAACTATTGTCGCGCATGCTCCACAAGTTGCCTGCATATCAAGGAGCTAGGCACGCAATTGGGCAGCCATTTACGTTGCTTGATTGGAATTGCGTGGAGGGGGAGTGAAGGAGGGATGTGCCTCTGTCGCATTGTACTCGTGTGGCCCTGTTGGACGGTTTTCCCATGGTAAGTTTTTGTTTTCTCTTCTTTTACTATGCTCTGAGCCCATTGAAAATGGGAAACCAGGGTATAATGGTTTTCTTAAATGTACGTAAGTGGGAGAAAACACGAGTGACACAGCCCGTAAGGTATATATATTCTTGGTGAATGCGAGGAGCTGAGTCGATATAGCCATATCTGTCCGCCTGTCCTAATGCGAACGGAGATACTTGAAATTTTCTTCGCATGTCCGTCCATTGATATGGTTTCGGTCTAGTGTCATCGATTCAAACGCATTTCAAAATACAGTTAATTAACTAATACATAATAAATAAATAATTAAAAATTTCAATTTTAAATTTATGGAATTTCGATCATTGTTCTATTTTGGATGTGGCTCACAAATCCCATCCCTTTCCTCAAAATTTGCTATAAGCGTATTTTAAATACTAAAGACTTGAGTCTTGGCAAATATGCACATTTAATGCTAGATAGTCAATCTACAAGAAAAATGATGAAGCTATTCCCATAGTAAGTCCACACTCTTCAGTCCCTCGAAGGGTTCAGGGGATCCTGCAGTCGAGCAGTCTCGACTAGAGAATTCTTACTTGTTTTCTATTGTTCAAGTGTGTCGGACGTTGGGCTGGCTGGTGGCTGGGTGGTTAGATGGTTGGGTGGCTGGGTGGCTGGGTATGTGGCATCGTTTTGTTACACTTACTTGGCGAACAAAAAAGTTATCACATAGAGCCATTTAGCCGGCGCTAGGACAATGGAGCACGCGCACCAGCAGAAGCTATCGGTGGGACGTGCACTGTGAAATGCGAGCTCCACGTCTGGCGACGTGCTTTACAGCTTAAACAGCGAACCGACATATGTCGCCGTCATCGGCGTCCTGATTGTCCTTGTGCTCCTGCCCACATAATGCCTTCGCTGGACACAAAGCGCCACTTCATTATCGACAACACTTGCGCCTAATTAGCGACATATACGCAATGAGTAATTGCCGGCTACCTAGACCACACACACACACACACATAGAGAGAGGTACCCATAGCCATTGCAATGCCCACTGAACCACACGGCTCACAGTTGGCGCAGTGGTTAAGCAACCACCCAACCACAAAGCAATACGTATCTGCATGATTTCAAATCGTCTGCGGTCAGCTTGGGGGCGGCTAAGTGGATTGGTTCAGTGGCCATCTGGCTCAGTGGGTGGTATTACATTACAGTTGCATCAGCCACAATTAATGTCAGCGTAGAATATGGTTGGTATATCTGTTACACAATGCACACAGTTGCTAAGTACAGTGCTTACTCGTCAAGAGTAACGCTCAACAGATTATTTTGAGCCACACCGAATAGTGCACGAAAAGTAAGCTAAGAAGAACCAAGTGTATTGGGCGTAAAATAGGCGGATATAGCCCACTGGGGTACATCTTGAGCATTCAAACAAGTCTATTTTTTAAAAGGTCTAGTATTCAATTCGATATTTGAGAATTTATCATGCTATTGTATAAGTATACAAGTAAGTAAGAGCCCTCATGTTGAAAACAATGAGCACACCAAAATAATTTTGGAGATTTTTTCATAACTAATTAATTTTGGGTATTTTTGAAAAAAAAAAAAAAAGCTGGATGGTAACTTTAAGAACGCAATCTGACAATGTGATGTACAAATGCCAAAAAAAAAAATGTATTTCCCCCTAAATGTATAGTAGTCATATTTAATTGTAAAGAGCTTGCTGAAAATAATAGGTACACTCAATTTCTTCGGCCTGAAAAAGAAGTTTAAAATACGATGTGTTTCTTTTGTTGTTATAATATAGTAAACGTTCTTCATACAGGTTTTAAAGGTAGAAAAACAATTATTAATATCGTTTGAGGAACGGAGGATTGCTTAAAGCTTTAGAAGAAAAGGCAAATCTTTGCGAAACTGATGAACATATCTTTTATTTTTGTGCAAAATGCTTTAGAATGTATGTTTGAACGCGTCGATCTCAGAAGATGTAAGAGCTAGAGACTTGAATGTTTTCCTAGGTCCGTGTATAGCACGCGCATATCGAGTTTTGCTTTAAATATCGATAGCTTTCCCCGCTATTTTGTTATCGATTAAAAAAATATCGAAAACCAGTAGTAAATTTATATCTCCTACATCTTTAAAGCTAGAGCCTCCAAATTATATATGTGTGCTTATATCGATAGATATCGATAGCTTTTCCCGTTATTTTGTTATCGATTTAAAAAAATATCGAAAACCAGTAGTAAATTTATATCTCCTACATCTTTAAAGCTAGAGCCTCCAAATTATATATGTATGCTTATATGTATTTTATAAAATTTCGCGTTTTGTCAAAATTAACCCCCCACCCCTAATTCACTCCCTCGCCATCACATTTGTAAAAGGCGTATTTCAAATACTAGGGACTTCTGCTTTGGCAAATACATGCTATATTCATGCAAATACATGTTATATTCATAATCTGAAAGTTATATATATATAATAAGATAATCCATCCACAAGAAAAGTTATAAAACAATTAACTTCCCATAGTAAGCCAACACTGCACTATGGGGAATTTTGCCGTTTTTCGGGTATTTAGTCATTTTTGCGAAGTATGAAAATTTATAATTTTTTTATGTTAACATCTTAATAAAACTCCAAACTTTAAGGTACTGTACCCAAAATGTTGAATAACAGTCCACTGTTAAGCCTAACAGCTGTTAAAGTCAGCTGTTATCTTCGAAAAGCATTTGCCTTCAGCTTACAATTTGTGTTAGCCGATTTTCAAATCATCGTTATTCAATGACCAGACATTATTTTTGAGAAATTTAAAAAGGATATGAATTTTTAGGGCTTCTACTATGCGTTGGCTTAAAAACCAATTGATGTTTGAACTTATTTTAATCATTTATTGTATAATTAGCAAATGTTGTCAAATTTCATTTCTTGTAAATAAAATTAAACTTTGCAAAGACATATAAAACAGCCACCAGGGCGCACCAGTGTAATTCCAATTGCATGTTATAGAGTAATCAATTGGGATCTTAGTGCCTTTGTCTCAATGTGCACTTTTGCGCACAACCGGCGCAAATCAATTTTTAGCAGGTGACTATGAGCTGACCTGTGTGATATTTGGCTCAATGAAAAAGGCAACTCTAACCAAGAAATAGTAATTGTGATTTTGAAACTAAATAAGACTAATATTGATTCAACTTATAAATGATATTAAAAAAGCAAAAGCCGCTTTTTTTGCCAAAATATAAATTACAAATGGAAGAAATGCAGCAGGAACAAAAACTAGCTGACAACTATGAATGACTGCCTATGACAGCAAATGTTTATAAAAATAATTGTTCATTTGAGGCAGATTATGGAAAGTACTGTTCATCCTGTAGGCTTTTTTGGTAAGGAAGCGTCTGATTTGCCCAACCAGGTCTATAAATCAGACTAATTTCATCATGCATGAGAGCATGAGAGCAGAATCCATAATTTCGCTGATGGTTTTTAACAATGGATACATCTGATCAGATTATTTCTTCGGCAAATCTTTAGAAAAGAGTTTGAAAGCATAAAGGTCGCTGTCTAATGAAGTTGTACGTATTGTATTATGTAAAGTTGAAGGCACAATTAAATCAGTTGAAGAACCCGAATTTTTTTAGCGGATCAATATTTCTGGCTGATTTGGAACTCGAAACTGAAGAAAACTAATTTCGATTTTATGAAAGTTCGATTGTTTTCAATTAAAATTATTATTTTAAAGTATGAACAAGCAAAATTCTTAAAAAAAAAAAAAATTTTTAATACAAAATTTTAATAAATTTTTTTGGGTGGGCGGTGACACGCCCATTTTTCTAAAATATATTTCTGATGGTATACATATTAATAATACAAAAACCGGATCAAAAAATCTGGCTTAGTTTTTAAGTTATTAATTAATACCCGATAATTTGGATTTTTCCCCATAGTGCACTGCAGCCAATGCGTGTTTATGCCTGTGTGTGTGCGTGTATGTGTGCATATGCGAATAATTATTGAAATATCAGTTGCTCGAAGGGTTCAGGGGATCTCGTAGTCGGGCAGTCTCGACTAGAGCTTTTTTACTTGTTCTTAGTTGCAGTTTTCTCTTATTTTATTTTTTCAGCGAGATCTTGATTTTTTATAAAATTTATTAAAAATCAGCCACGTTCATGATCATGATCTTGATCATCAATGTCTTCCTCTTCCGTACAATCGAAACTTTCTCTCTTTCTCTAATATACATATGTATATGTAGGCCTCAAAGAAGAGTATAAAGCACATAAGACAATCCAAAACAAATTCTGATGACAATGCTCTAAGAGGATCAATAAAATGGCTCGACTGTTCCTGACTGTTTCGGCGGTGAGGACGTGGCTCCCACTAATCCCTAGCAATTGAAGAGTGTACCTGGCCGGCACCATATACAGCCCGGATGTAAACCGCCTACTGAAGAGAGAAGTCGCGGCATACAGGCGGCGGCTCCGTCAGACTCGCCGGCTTTAGGAGCCATGGTCGTCTCCTTATCGCTCACGAGCCACGATACGTGGTAATCCAATAAGGAGCAGGTAGAATAGTCTCCGTAGTCATAATGTTGTAGTCATATAGTTCATCTAGCAGTTGTAGATAAGATTTTTTTGTAGTCATGCAAGTAGCCATTTGTAGTCATATACATAAGTTATCTTTGGTAGCAGTTAAGTTAAAAGTTGTAAGTCACTAGTACGTAAAAGAATAGTAGTTTAGTCAGTAGGAAGACTAGTACGTTAGCTAAACAATGAAGTTGCCCTGCCCAGCGTGGTGAGAGCTCACGAGAGCGGAAAACACCCGCTGCGGTAGACTTGTGCTGCCGAATACAGGAACGCTGCTCGAGTCCGCGAACAATGAATCGGACATAGTTTTTCAACGTAGAAAAAATGTACATGAGAGACACGCCAACTTCGTATTTGCTCGGCTCTGTCTATGGTACGACAAACCATTGTTTGGTCAGTGGTACTATATGATGTATAATATAACAAATTGTTTGTGTATATTAGATTTAAATACTGTTAATTATATATATTGTAATTTGTATTGTTAATTGTATGAGCTCTCATGTGGCTTGGTGTCTGTAGTGACATATCGACATCGATCTGTCTCTCAACAGAAACCCCATCGATACTATCGATATTTCCATTGATGGTTTTGCAGCACTAATTCTAAGTGGGGATGTGATAGCTTAATGCAGTAAAGTGAAATAATGATTTGAAGTGTTTACGAGAGAAAACGAACACAAGCCCAGCTTTATTTCTTCTAATGCAAACCCTAACCTAGCATCCATGCGTCAAGACATAACATGCACAGATCCCCCCCGCAAGTCGTCGATAACCACGATCATCCGTCTATGTGTGAAGCTTTGTGGGCGCTTAGCCAGCTTCCGCCGTTCTCCCGCTGGCACGTGCGTGGGTGTGACTAACTACCTTCATATCTGACAGTGAATTTATCACCTGGGCCTATGGTTTGTACCTGGGAATTATTTTCTAGATGAAAATATGATTTTAATCAATTTATTAAAATTTACATGATGCATATTATTATTTGATTTATACTGATTTAATAAACTTCCTGCGATTAAGTTATCAGCGGGTAAGCATTTAAGTATTACAGCCCATAGATTTGCCAAGTAGAGTTTCCTGCTCAGCGGTTGTAGAATTAGGTGATTACTCAGTAGTTTGTATAAGCGTTTAAGTATAGCAGCCCAAAGATTTGCCAGCCAGATTATGCCCTTGTGGAATTAGTCGATTACTCAATAGTTCGGATGAGCGTCTAAGTATTACTTACTTTGGATAAGTGTTTAACTATTACATCCCAAAGATTTGCCAGCCAGATTATGCCCGAAGATTTGCCAAACAAAGTTTATCCTTGTAGAATTAGGTGATCACTCAATAGATTGGATAAGTGTTTAAGTATTACATCAGAAAGATAAGACAGTCAGATTTTCCCCTGTGGAACTAATTGATTACTCAATAGTTTGGATAACCGTCTAAGTATTACTTACTTTGGAGAAATGTTAAAGTAATACAGCCCGAAGATTTGCCAGACAAAGTTTATCCTTGTAGAATTAGGTGATCACTCAGTAGTCTGGATAAGTATTACAGCCCAAAGATCTGCCAGCCAGATTTTCAATTGTTGAATTAGGTAATTACTCAATAGTTTGGAAAAGCGTCTAAGTATTATAGCTCAAAGATTTGCCAGCCAGACTTTTCTTTGTAGAATTAGGTAATTACTCAATAGTTCGGATGAGCGTCTAAGTATTACTTACTTTGGATAAGTGTTTAACTATTACATCCCAAAGATTTGCCAGCCAGATTATGCCCGAAGATTTGCCAAACAAAGTTTATCCTTGTAGAATTAGGTGATCACTCAATAGATTGGATAAGTGTTTAAGTATTACATCAGAAAGATAAGACAGTCAGATTTTCCCCTGTGGAACTAATTGATTACTCAATAGTTTGGATAACCGTCTAAGTATTACTTACTTTGGAGAAATGTTAAAGTATTACATCACAAAGATTTGTCAGACAAAGTTTGTCCTTGTAGAATTAGAAGATCACTCATTAGTTTGGATAAGTATTACATCCAAAAGATTTGCCAAGTAGAGTTTCCAGCTCAGCGGATGTAGAATTAGGTGGTTACTCAGTAGTTTGGATAAGCGTTTAAGTATAACAGCCCAAAGATTTGCCAGCCAGATTATGCCCCTGTGGAATTAGTCGATTACTCAATAGTTTGGATAAGCGACTAAGTATTACTTACTTTGGATAAGTGTTTAACTATTACATCCCAAAGATTTGCCAGCCAGATTATGCCCGAAGATTTGCCAAACAAAGTTAATCCTTGTAGAATTAGGTGATCACTCAATAGATTGGATAAGTGTTTAAGTATTACATCAGAAAGAAAAGACAGTCAGATTTTCCCCTGTGGAATTAGGTAATTACTCAATAGTTTGGATAACCGTCTAAGTATTACTTACTTTGGAGAAACGTTCAAGTATTACAGCCCAAAGATCTGCCCAGTAGAGTTTCCAGCTCAGCGATTGTAGAATTAGGTGATCACTCAGTAGTCTGGATAAGTATTACAGCCCAAAGATCTGACCAGTAGAGTTTCCAGCTCAGCGGTTGTAGAATTAAGTGATTACTCAGTAGTTTGGATAAGCGTTTAAGTATAACAGACCAAAGATTTGCCAGTCAGATTTTCCCTTGTAGAGTTAGGTGATCACTCAATAGTTTGGACAAGCGTTTAAGTATTACACCCCAATGATTTGCCAGCCAGGTTTTCCTTTGTGGAATAAGGTGATCACTCAGTAGTTTCGATGAGCGTTTAAGTATTATACCCCAAAGATTTTCCAGTCAGATTTTCCGTCGTAGAATTAGGTGATCACTCAATAGTTTGGATGAGCGTTTAAGTATTACATTCCAATGATTTGCCTGCCAGGTTTTCCTTTGTGGAATAAGGTGATCACTCAGTAGTTTCGATGAGCGTTTAAGTATTATAGCCCTCAGATTTGCCAGTCAGATTTTCCCTTGTAGAATTATGGGATCACTCAATAGTTTGGATAAGCGTTTCAGTATTACAGCCCAAAGATTTTCCAGTCAGATTTTCCGTTGTAGAATTAGGTGATCACTTAATAGTTTGGATAAGCGTTTAAGTATTACATCCCAAAGATTTGCCAGCCAGGTTTTCCTTTGTGGAATAAGCTGATCACTCAGCAGTTTGGATATGCGTTTAAGTATTATAGCCCTCAGATTTGCCAGTCAGATTTTCCCTTGTAGAATTATGGGATCACTCAATAGTTTGGATAAGCGTTTAAGTATTACATCCCAAAGATTTGCCAGCCAGATTACGACCTTGTGGAATAAGGTGATCACTCAGTACTTTCGAAAAGCGTTTAAGTATTATAGCCCAAAGATTTGCCAGTCAGATTTTCCTTGTAGAATTAGGGGATCAGTCAATAGTTTGGATAAGCGTTTAAGTATTACAGCCCAAAGATTTGCCAGTCAGATTTTCCCTTGTAGAATTATGGGATCACTCAATAGTTTGGATAAGCGTTTAAGTATTACATCCCAAAGATTTGCCAGCCAGATTACGACCTTGTGGAATAAGGTGATCACTCAGTAGTTTCGAAAAGCGTTTAAGTATTATAGCCCAAAGATTTACCAGTCAGATTTTCCCTTGTAGAATTATGGGATCACTCAATTGTTTGGATAAGCGTTTAAGTATTACATCCCAATGATTTGCCAGCCAGGTTTTCCTTTGTGGAATAAGGTGATCACTCAGTAGTTTCGATGAGCGTTTAAGTATTATAGCCCTCAGATTTGCTAGTCAGATTTTCCCTTGTAGAATTATGGGATCACTCAATAGTTTGAATAAGCGTTTCAGTATAACAACCCAAAGATTTTCCAGTCAGATTTTCTCTTGTAGAATTAGGGGATCACTCAATAGTTTGGATAAGCGTTTAAGTATTACAGCCCAAAGATTTGCCAGTCAGATTTTCTCTTGTAGAATTAGGGGATCAGTCAATAGTTTGGATAAGCGTTTCAGTATTACAGCCCAAAGATTTGCCAGTCAGATTTTCCCTTGTAGAATTAGGGGATCAGTCAATAGTTTGGATAAGCGTTTAAGTATTATAGCCCTCAGATTTGCCAGTCAGATTTTCCCTTGTAGAATTATGGGATCAGTCAATAGTTTGGATAAGCGTTTCAGTATTACAGCCCAAAGATTTGCCAGTCAGATTTTCCCTTGTAGAATTAGGGGATCAGTCAATAGTTTGGATAAGCGTTTAAGTATTACAGCCCAAAGATTTGCCAGTCAGATTTTCCCTTGTAGAATTATGGGATCACTCAATAGTTCGGATAAGCGTTTAAGTATTACATTCCAAAGATTTGCCAGCCAGATTACGACCTTGTGGAATAAGGTGATCACTCAGTAGTTTCGAAAAGCGTTTAAGTATTATAGCCCAAAGATTTGCCAGTCAGATTTTCCCTTGTAGAATTATGGGATCACTCAATAGTTTGGATAAGCGTTTAAGTATTACATCCCAATGATTTGCCAGCCAGGTTTTCCTTTGTGGAATAAGGTGATCACTCAGTAGTTTCGATGAGCGTTTAAGTATTATAGCCCTCAGATTTGCTAGTCAGATTTTCCCTTGTAGAATTATGGGATCACTCAATAGTTTGGATAAGCGTTTCAGTATTACAACCCAAAGATTTTCCAGTCAGATTTTTCCTTGTAGAATTAGGGGATCACTCAATAGTTTGGATAAGCGTTTAAGTATTACATCCCAAAGATTTGCCAGCCAGGTTTTCCTTTGTGGAATAAGGTGATCACTCAGCAGTTTGGATATGCGTTTAAGTATTATAGCCCAAAGATTTGCCAGTCAGATTTTCCCTTGTAGAGTTAGGTGATCACTCAATAGTTTGGATAAGCGTTTAAGTATTACATCCCAATGATTTGCCAGCCAGGTTTTCCTTTGTGGAATAAGGGTATCACTCAGTAGTTTCGATGAGCGTTTAAGTATTATAGCCCTCAGATTTGCCAGTCAGATTTTCTCTTGTAGAGTTAGGTGATCAATCAATAGTTTGGATAAGTATTACATTCCAATGATATGTCAGCAACATTTTCAATTGTTAAATTAGGTAATTACTCAATAGTTTGGATAAGCGTTTAAGTATTACAGCCCAAAAATTTGCCAGTCAGATTTTCCCTTGTAGAATTATGGGATCACTCAATAGTTTGGATAAGCGTTTAAGTATTACATCCCAAAGATTTGCCAGCCAGGTTTTCCTTTGTGGAATAAGGTGATCACTCAGCAGTTTGGATATGCGTTTAAGTATTATAGCCCAAAGATTTGCCAGTCAGATTTTCCCTTGTAGAGTTAGGTGATCACTCAATAGTTTGGATAAGGGTTTAAGTATTACATCCCAATGATTTGCCAGCCAGGTTTTCCTTTGTGGAATAAGGTGATCACTCAGCAGTTTCGATGAGCGTTTAAGTATTATAGCCCTCAGATTTGCTAGTCAGATTTTCCCTTGTAGAATTAGGGGATCAGTCAATAGTTTGGATAAGCGTTTAAGTATTACAGCCCAAAGATTTGCCAGTCAGTTTTTCCCTTGTAGAATTATGGGATCACTCAATAGTTTGGATAAGCGTTTCAGTATTACAGCCCAAAGATTTTCCAGTCAGATTTTCCGTTGTAGAATTAGGTGATCACTTAATAGTTTGGATAAGCGTTTAAGTATTACATCCCAAAGATTTGCCAGCCAGGTTTTCCTTTGTGGAATAAGGTGATCACTCAGTAGTTTCGATGAGCGTTTAAGTATTATAGCCCTCAGATTTGCCAGTCAGATTTTCCCTTGTAGAATTATGGGATCAGTCAATAGTTTGGATAAGCGTTTCAGTATTACAGCCCAAAGATTTGCCAGCCAGGTTTTCCTTTGTGGAATAAGGTGATTACTCATCAGTTTGGATATGCGTTTAAGTATTATAGCCCAAAGATTTGCCAGTCAGATTTTCCCTTGTAGAATTATGGAATCACTCAATAGTTCGGATAAGCGTTTAAGTATTACATTCCAAAGATTTGCCACCCAGATTACGACCTTGTGGAATAAGGTGATCACTCAGTAGTTTCGAAAAGCGTTTAAGTATTATAGCCCAATGATTTGCCAGTCAGATTTTCCCTTGTAGAATTATGGGATCACTCAATAGTTTGGATAAGCGTTTAAGTATTACATCCCAATGATTTGCCAGCCAGGTTTTCCTTTGTGGAATAAGGTGATCACTCAGTAGTTTCGATGAGCGTTTAAGTATTATAGCCCTCAGATTTTCCAGTCAGATTTTCCCTTGTAGAATTATGGGATCACTCAATAGTTTGAATAAGCGTTTCAGTATTACAACCCAAAGATTTTCCAGTCAGATTTTCCCTTGTAGAATTAGGGGATCACTCAATAGTTTGGATAAGCGTTTAAGTATTACATCCCAAAGATTTGCCAGCCAGGTTTTCCTTTGTGGAATAAGGTGATCACTCAGCAGTTTGGATATGCGTTTAAGTATTATAGCCCAAAGATTTGCCAGTCAGATTTTCCCTTGTAGAGTTAGGTGATCACTCAATAGTTTGGACAAGCGTTTAAGTATTACATCCCAATGATTTGCCAGCCAGGTTTTCCTTTGTGGAATAAGGTGATCACTCAGTAGTTTCGATGAGCGTTTAAGTATTATAGCCCTCAGATTTGCCAGTCAGATTTTCCCTTGTAGAATTATGGAATCACTCAATAGTTTGGATAAGCGTTTCAGTATTACAGCCCAAAGATTTTCCAGTCAGATTTTCCGTTGTAGAATTAGGTGATCACTTAATAGTTTGGATAAGCGTTTAAGTATTACATCCCAAAGATTTGCCAGCCAGGTTTTCCTTTGTGGAATAAGGTGATCACTCAGCAGTTTGGATATGCGTTTAAGTATTATAGCCCTCAGATTTGCCAGTCAGCTTTTCCCTTGTAGAATTATGGGATCAGTCAATAGTTTGGATAAGCGTTTCAGTATTACAGCCCAAAGATTTGCCAGTCAGATTTTCCCTTGTAGAATTATGGGATCACTCAATAGTTTGGATAAGCGTTTAAGTATTTCATTCCAAAGATTTGCCAGCCAGATTACGACCTTGTGGAATAAGGTGATCACTCAGTAGATTGGATGAGCGTTTAAGTATTATAGCCCAAAGATTTGCCAGTCAGATTTTCCCTTGTAGAATTATGGGATCACTCAATAGTTTGGATAAGCGTTTAAATATTACAGCCCAAAGATTTGCCAGTCAGATTTTCCCTTGTAGAATTATGGGATCACTCAATAGTTTGGATAAGCGTTTAACTATTACATCCCAAAAATTTGCCAGCCAGAATATGCCCTTGTGGAATAAGGTGATCACTCAGCAGTTTGGATATGCGTTTAAGTATTATAGCCCAAAGATTTGCCAGTTAGATTTTCCCTTGTAGAGTTAGGTGATCACTCAATAGTTTGGATAAGCGTTTAAGTGTTACATCCCAATGATTTGCCAGCCAGGTTTTCCTTTGTGGACTAAGGTGATCACTCAGTAGTTTCGATGAGCGTTTAAGTATTATAGCCCTCAGATTTGCCAGTCAGATTTTCCCTTGTAGAATTAGGGGATCACTCATTAGTTTGGATAAGCGTTTAAGTATTACATCCCAAAAATTTGCCAGCCAGAATAT